TTATTTTTTGTTACTTTTTTCTCTAAATTTTTTATTTTTTTTTTTTTTTTAGGAATATATTCATCATCACTAGAGATAGAGGTATGTTCCACTTCATCTTCAGAGTCACTTATATCAATTATTGGTTTTCTTTCAGATTTTACACGTAGAGATCTTTTCATTGTGTATGCTTAAAGAAACATTAGTATTAAACTGTATCAAGATATTTTTTTTAAATCATCTGTATTGAGGCTTTTTTTGCCAAGAAACCAAGAGAAAGGTAACTGTGAATTTCACAGTGTAAAATGTGATGAACTCTGACGTTAAAGATGGCAACAATCACAGTGTACTTGTGCGTTTCAAAATTTCTAACCAAACCTGAAGAACTTACGTCACCGAAATAAGTAATGATTGAGAATGTGCCTTCATATTATTTTCAATCATATCGTAGTAATTGTATTAATATGTATTTCATCTGTAATATCTATTTAACTATAATTGATTAGTAACTATCTCTCTTAAAATAACACAGAGAATCAGAGGATTCTTAGTCTGTGACAAGAGAGATAAGAAGATATTGTCAAGTCACAAAGAAAATCTTTGGTATTATCTACTAATGTAATATGTATATGTACTACTGTATATAAATTAGCATTAATACTTGCAAGGTACATAATGATATCCACACTGTATTGGACTATTTTAAAGAATTTTTGTATACAATCATTTTAATTATGTTAATTTTTATATGTTTCAAGAACACATACAATGGCAGGGAAATTTCAATCACTACTGAAAAGTATATCTAGTGAAGTAAATAAATATCTTTTATTTAATAATCGAAAGACAATTAATAATGCCACGGAAAAAATACACGCAAAGTTGAGTAACATACAAAATACTGTTGCTACAAAATATGACGTTATTGCAAAGGTATATTACAATTGTTTATTTAATGTTAAAATTTTGTAGAATTTTATTTGAAAGATGTAATGATAAAACTTTTATTATTGATTTCAGCAAGTGAATAATGACATTACATTCATGCAAAATTTAAGTGCAGCGAAACTAGAACCAAGTCCATTACCAAAAAAAGTTGTAAAGTGGTGGCAATGGTATCAACAATTAATAGGCTTGGATATAGTGGAAACAGCCAAACATCAAGTAATTGTAGCTCAAGATAAATTATTTAAGTGTCAAGAAGAAAGAAGGAATCTTAATCGGCATGCAACAATAATAAATAATAAATTAAAAGATATATACTCAGACCTTATACAGACCAAAAGGGATGATCCAAAATATGTTCAATTAACTATAACAGAAAATAAACATCTTCAAGATCAAGCAACGATTGCATCAGAACTTAATTTATTAGACAAAGAAGAAAAGGATCATTTTACACAACTAGCAACAGCTATCAAAGAATATCATGATAGCCAAACAATATATGCTCAAAAGTATAAATATTTGTCTATCATTGCGTCTGCTACATTAGCAATTATATCATTAATTGGTTCAATGATCTACAATAATCAAAGAATTCACAATATTCGAAATGCTATAGACCTGGGTCTGCACTCTGTAGAAGATAATATAAACACAAAACTTGATATAATTAATAATAATATCATAACAATTAATAGTAAGATGAATGATAATAGTAAATCAATTGTAGTACCAGACAGTAATGAATCAACAACGGATAAATTGAAAAAATATGGTGCAATAGTTGGCTCAAGTTTTATTGTACTATATATAACAGTAAAAAGTCTATTCTAACTACTTCATTCATCATAGTTTCTTCTTTGAAATATTACAAAAATGTTGACTACATGAAACA